GTTGGTTCTGATTCATAGCAACCCTGTATATCGTTTCCAAAGCTGTAAATCTTTGTGGGCACAGAAAAGTCTCATCTTTCTTCATTGATCGGCTGGTGGGCTCAAACCACTAACTTTGTGGTTTGCAGCCCAGTGATTACCCTCTAGAGCCACTGCACTCTCATGTAGCTACATTGCTGTTTTATGTTCCGTCAAGTCAGTTTCAACTCAGCAACTCTCTATAGGGTTTTCATGGAACAACTGTTAAGTTTGAACTGCCAAATTTGCAGTTCAAGCCAACCTTGTGGTCTACTGCTTATCCTCCAGCGCCACACCAGGACTCCATATAGACATACACAAAAGTTTAACCATACTAAGGCAAATCTTTGCAATCTAGTTAAATACAAATATCTGTTTTAATATTATTTCCATACAACAAATTTACTAACTAAATGAAAAATTTTAGAAAGATTTTATGGTTGTGCTCTGATTCAGGTACTAATATACGAGTATATCACTAAGGCAATCTTACCAAGATTTTCAGATAAAAATATTTTAAATATTTTTTTATCAATGGATAAGGAAATTTCTCTGGTGTTATCCTTGTCCTCGAAATTACCTGAAAATGCTAAAGTGAACCAGTCTCCTTTTAAATTTCCAAGACCTATTCCTATCTATGCTAAGGTGTGGCGCTGTGGGTTAATGTGTGCTGGACTGAAAGTTGGTTTGAACCACAAAGTCAGTGGTTCAAGCTTACCAGTTGCTCCTCCAAAACCCAACAAGGCTAGGGTATAGATATTTGCTCTTCCTTAAGAGGAAGTATGTTGTTGTTAAGTGCCATCGGGTCGGTTCCAATTCATAGTGACCCTGTGTAGGGTTTCCAAGAAACGGCTGGTGGGTTGGAACCACCAATCTTGGGTTAACAGTCCGGTGTTTATCCTACAGTGCCATACCAATTCTACTGCCGTCACTCTATTATTGTTAATTATTGAAATTCTAGAAAATAAAGCTATACCTGGTTGATTTTATTCATTGCTATAGTCCTTTACAGTCATCTGAAAAGTTTTCCAAACCCTAACCAACATACACTACAATGTAAAGCACAAACAATTCAGCAGACAGTACAAGAAAAAAATCACCAGAAAAGAATAAAGTCAAAAGTTGTTTCATTTGCTACATTCAACTTCCTGTGGAATTATAAATATTGAGTAGTTTAAAGAAAAGTAACCATTTTAGCTTTAACATTACCATCTAAGAAAAAATTAGCATAAATATATTACATTTCAGATTTCTCTCATGGGATGCTCACTTCTCATCCACTTTTCATGAAATAGAAAATGTTTCAGCAGTCCTACCTTTTCCTTGTCTACTACAATGAACAGCTCCACATATCGGGTCTGTGGCAGGATGGCTCTTTTTCTCTGTCAAACGCACACACAAAAATGTTCTAAGATTGTAAGTTTTACATAGGCAATCATCATATCCTAATCTATGGTTACTTATTTCATGTCAGCTAAGACTATCATAAAATTATCTTGGTTTACATACCCTAGGTCAATAAAGCCAAACCACAATTTAAAAAAACAAATGAACAGCAATACCTGATATACTAATCTGAAAAAAAAATAGTTAAAGGTAAAATGATTTACTCAGGTTTCCAAAAAGTAGAATTATTAATTTTTCTAAAATAAAAACTATATAAAAATACACACAAATGTACACATACACACACACCATAATGGGAAACTCTACTGTTACATTTTAGAGAAAAAGAAAGACTACCAATTACCCATAGCAGAAGTGTGACAAAGCTGCCAGTTAATAAAATGAATAGTTTTGTGATTTTTATAGAAATTACCATAAAGTGTGGCACTGTGGGTCAATGCGCCAGACTGCAAAGCCATTTGAACTGCAAGGTCAGCAGTTCAAGCTCATCAGCTGCTCCTCGGAAACTCTATACAGGGCCGCTATGGGTCGGAACCGACTCGATGGCATAACAACAACAAAGATAATTGTAAATGTTTCTAATGTTTTAATTTTAAAAGAATAGTGAAGGTAGATGCTAGGAAAGACAATGAAAATAATGTCATAAACTTAGCTGTTGTTGCTGTTAACATCAAGTCGGATCCGACTCAGAACAACCCTGCATAGGGTTTCTGAGGAGCAGTTGTTGGGTTTGAACTGTGAACCTGTGGTTAGCAGTCCAGTGCTTATTCTAAAGCACCACACCAATATGAGTTAATTAAAAATACAAGGGGGGAGCTTCAAAAAGCTCATGGGAAAATGAAGTTAAGAGGAGGCAAGATGGCGGATTAGATAGTAAAGCTATACAGATTCTCTATTACAAAGATGCAGAAAATCAAATGAAACAGATGCAGATGATAGTCTTGAAACCCTGAGCTTCAGGTGAAGGGATAATGAAGTGGATTGAATGCTTACTAGGAGAGAAAGCTGAACAGACTCAGCAAAAAAAAAAAAAAAAGAGAGAGAGAGAGAGAGAGAGGTTGGTGACCTGTGAAGGCCGTCCAGACACAGTGCAGCCATCTTAAGGTTTTGTGAGTGGCTTCAGAGACAAGACACTACATTGTCATTGCAAAAACATACTGGTGACTCTTAGAAATAGAGTCTCAAATTTTTTTCTTGTTCTCCACACTCACCTGGTGACCAGAGGTGGAGCAGCTCTTACCCACAAACGCCCCTAGCAGGGCTCCTGCTCTTGTGGTGGCTGGAGCCTCACAAAGGTGAGTACCACAGTTTATGCCCCGTCAAAGTGAGCGGGGAGCTATCCACATTAATCCTGGTATCTTGATTCAGGTGAAACCTGCTCCAATGCTACAGAATCTGCCCTGGCCAGCTCTAGTCTAGTCCTAAGTAGGAGTAGCAGCTGAACAGACATGTAAGAAGGGGGGCGGGGGGAGAGACAGGTAATTTGTGCAAGTTCAGTGTGGCCATCTTGAACTTAAGCAGGCAGATGTGAAACTAAGAGCAGTTAGTGGTCCAGAGGCATACTGCTTATTGTCAGAGAGAAAGGTGCTTTTTTTTTTCCGTTTTACCCACATTACCCTGGTGACAAAAGGCATGGCCAGCCCCCACCTGCATACACTTCCAGAGAAGCTCGACTCTCTAGGTGGTTGAAGGTGCATCAAAGGGAGTAGGAAGCTAGCAACACCACAACCCCTGGCAGCTGGAATCAGATGTAGCCTGCAAAACTAGTTCTGGCAAGCCCTGAACTAGCTGGTCCTCTTACCCTGGGTTGCCCTCTGGGATGGAAATACACTAATCCCCCAGCTACTTTTGGGTCTGCATGGACTACTTCTAGATTATGTGCCCAAACAGACAATACCTAGCCTTACAGGAATTCTACCTAGGGCTGGAGTACCACTGTCTCATTCTTTACCCACACACCATGTGAGATCCTTAAGTAGCAAGAGACTCCAGAATTTTCTCCTCTCTGGGTCTGGCACCTGCCCTGATTTTTTTTCTTTTCATTGTTTTGATTGTTTTTTGTTTCCTTCTCTTCTTCCTTTCTTTCCCTACCCTTGAATTTTATACTTTCTATCTCAACTTTCTTTTTTTTCTTTTTTTCTACCTTTCTTTTCCAGCTGCTGCTGCTTCTTTCTATTTTTCTCTTAGCTTCTCTTTATTACTCTCTGATCTCTTCCCTTGTGTGCATCTCTTTCCCCAATTATGTTTAGTTATTTTCCTTTCTTTTTATTCTCTTATCTTTTTTATCCATGTTTAAACTTTTTTTAAAATCCTCTCCTTGTCTCTTTTTGGTTTATATATTCTTTTTCTAGCTGTTGCATGTTTTTGCTTCTTGTTTCTTAGTTTTTTACTTCACTATTTTCTTTTTTTTCTGTTGTTTACTTGTTTTGTTTTTCTTCTCTCTTGTGTATGTGTTTTCTCTTACTACCTCCTTGACAAAGAACAGCAACCATACCCATACAGCCCAGTCACAATTGCATCCGCTACAACCCCACCCACTGGGTAAAGGCCAAAAAGAGCTGCTATACACGCGACCAACAACAATAACCAACATCAGTCACATCTGTCCTAAACTGAGTTGAATGAATGGTACACAGAAAATGTATAAACCCATGGATTTTAAAACCAGTAAATTGAACCATAAAGAATTACATTATTTCCTTACTCGAAGTAGCTGAGTCATGCTCTGAGACTCTTCATCTTCATCCTTTGTGGGCTTTTTCTCTATATCCTTGTTGGAAACCCCACATTTCAGAGGCTCTTTGTGGACATCATCCATTCGATAAAAGATATGCTCAAAATGAGAACTGTTTTGCAGAGGTTCAATCCCATAACTTGTATCATCTAAATGCAGCAATCCTCTAAATGTTGTGTTATTATATACACAATTTTAAAGAAAGAAAGAAAATAAACAAACACAGAAAAAGGGATCAGAAACTCCAATTCAAGTCCTAATTCTTAACATGCATAAGAAAGGGTAGCAAAAAAAGAGGTTTTAGAGTCAATCAAACTTAAATTTAAACTTAAGACTGCTACTTACTAACATTACTGCCCAAAAGTTACTTAATCTCTCTGAGTGGTTATTGTATAATGGAAGGCAGTAAGTGCAATGGGGAAAGGATGGCGTCTAGAGCCAGAGGACCAAAATTGTAATTCCAATTTTGTTTCCTACTAGCTGTGGGATTTTTAGAAAGTTATTTAACCTATGCCCTGGTTTACATTTTGTACATGGGTGTTCTGAAAATAAAATTATTTGTGTTGTAATTGTTGGTTACTTGCTGATTTGGCACCAACTCACAGCAACCTTATGCGTAACAGAACAAAATGCTTCCTGGTCCTACATCACTATTGTTGTACTGTTGTATTATATTTTGACTACCTTTCAACCTGAGCAGCTGCCTTCTAAAACTACATCAGACAATGTTCTGTTACTATTTACTTGGTTACAATGCTAATTTTCCAAAGAAGATCACCAGACTTTTCCTCATAGTCTACCTTGGTCTGGAAGCTCTGATAAACAAGTCCATCATGAATGAACCTACTGGTATTTGAAATCTAGTCATATAACTTCCAGCAGCATAGCAACCCATAAGTTACCATAGTATAACCAATAGACAGGCAAGCTGTGGCTAAATTATCTAATAAGCACAGAACAGAACATTGTTGGGCACACAAAAATTATTCAGTAAACTTTACTGTTTAAAAGGAAATAGTCCTAACCATCTTAAAGAGCTGGTTTGAGAATTATCTATGTAATATCTATTAGTTCAATTAATTATGTAGCCAACTAACCAGCATAGCACCACACTTCCAGACACTTAGTAAATGTAACTTTAACATTATTATCATTTCGCTTGCAGTGTGCTACAATTTCTCTAAACTTTAGTTTTTCCCGCCTAAATATAGACAGACATAAGAAGCTCTTTTTGTAGCCATTATAAGGCTTAAATGAAAATGTATAGGTAAAATATTTATAAACATAAAATATTACAGAAATTAAGTTCATATTTTAAATAGCAAAAATCATTTAATCATCTCAAAAAGATAAAGTATGCCCTTTAGATATTAAAATCCATCAACTATAACACTTTCCTAGATAGGCATGCTGAGAATATAAGCATAACTACAATATAGCTGTAAAGATCTTCAGCAAATTCAAATTAAAATCTAAGTTTGCTCAAGTTTTCTAAAATTACTTGATTTGGTAACAGAAATAGGGTATAGGGGAAAAATAAATAAATAAATCCTTACCTGAGTCCAAAACAGTTGCTAAGAGCAACGGATGAATTATAAACTCCCTCCACATAGCCCCGATAGTGACAATGATTCTAAATAAGAAATACTGCATTATATTCAAATAATGTTACAGTGTTTAAAATCATAGAAATTGCAAAGCTAACCAAATTACTTAAGGCTAATAGACTTTAAAAAAGTTTTTTTTTATTGTTGGCATTTCATAGCACATCCACTGTCATCCTGTAAGTACATAACTGTTCTAGGCAGAATTCCAGAGAATACTAAGTACAAACAGCTCGGCCCCAATGACCTTTCAGTCTAGAGACAGAACAAGACAGCATTATGTCATGTATAACATTTCAAATAAATCACAGTCAATCCAAGAAGCAACAACTGCTAATGATATCTAATAGAGAAGACATTGTGAGAGGCTAATAATGCCCCCCAACAGCAAAAAAAAAAAAAAAACTTTTAACATGAATGGGAAAGAGCAATTTTGATCTGTTATATTTTCTATTTATTATACTGTTATTATTTATAAATTTAGCTATTTTCAGAAACGTAAGAA